ATTCATAATTTAAATGGAAGCTTTTATTCCATGACTCATCAGATTGTATGTCCGGAAAAGGACTGTGGCATGTGTGTCAAAGAGGGTCCTTTTTACATGTGTGTATGGGACCCAGACGCGGGTGGCGCTGTGGGTTAAAGCCTCAGCACCTAGGACTTGCAGATCGAAAGGTCGGCGGTTCGAATCCCCGCGGCAGGGTGCGCTCCCGTCGTTCGCTCCCAGCGCCTGCCAACCTAGCAGTTCGAAAGCACCCTCAGGTGCAAGTAGATAAATAGGGACCGCTTACCAGCGGGAAGGTAAACGGCGTTCCGTGTGCTGCGCTGCCTCACCAGATGCAGCTTGTCACGCTGGCCACGTGACCCGGAAGTGTCTTCGGACAGCGCTGGCTCCCGGCCTTTAGAGTGAGATGAGCGCACAACCCTAGAGTCTGGCAAGACTGGCCCGTACGGGCAGGGGTACCTTTACCTTTACCTTTATGGGACCCAGAAACAATGCTTGCATTCTGCTGCAAAGATGAGCAAAAAATTTAACTGCACAAGTGAAGCATTAAGCTCACACCTGGGACTTCAGGACAGTTCTGTGCTACCTAAGTAACGAAAATGGAGCATACTTCTTAACATTCTCTGCAGGCTCAGAATGGCACATTTCACTTTCCCCCTTCTTTGTCCTGGGAATTTATAAGCCAGTTAAAATAACATTCATTCAGCATAACAGCACACAGTCGTGACCACACAGACAAGGTGGAAATAGAGATTTGTTTGTTTCTCTTGCCTATATCTTTTTTTAAAAGCCAAAGAAACAGCCCTTGCATATCAGGATTGTGCAGCCAAGTGTTCCTTAAAGGAAAATGGTTTGTCATTGTACAAATGCCACTTAGATCTGAAAAGCATTTTCTTGTGGCCTACATGGGAGGGGGATTAATGAAATTCCAAGGAAGAGCTACAATTGCAACCACCAATGTGACAGACTCAAGCAGCAGGAGTAAAAGCTTGAAAGCAGTAGAAGTCAAGAACAAAACAAAGAATTTTTTCTAATCTACCCTAGCATTCTAGATTTCTTCTTCTTTTTTAGATTTGTGAAAAATGTTGCACTGACAACTGAACAACACGTTAGGGTTGCTGTCCTACCTGAGGTCATCCCAGGGGGGCGTAGGATACATCTGCTCCCTCTCAACATCAAAGAGAGCATGAGGGAGGGAGAGCTCTGATGCTGAAGAGGAAAGACCTAGGGTTGGATTCCCTGCTTGCCATTGCTGCAGAAACCTCTGATGCCCTGGCAATACTGATGTTGGAGCTCTAATGTTGACAGGGCCAGGAACGGGGTGTGTTGGATGCAGTTTGAGGGGTTGGTGTTGGGTGAGGACTGGGAAATGGTTTGTATCCATCTGAATATAAGAGGGGAAATGTTATAAAACAACACTGAAGTGATATATAGCTGCCCTTCTTCTTCTTCTTCTTCTTCTTCTTCTTCTTCTTCTTCTTCTTCTTCTTCTCCTCCTCCTCCTCCTCCTCCTCCTCCTCCTCCTCCTCCTCCTATATGGCCCTTAATCTGGGGATCACAAGGCAGTTTACAAAATAAAAACACAAAAACACACACCATAGTAACAAACAATGATTCTCTCATTGTATTATAGGCTCCACAGATGAGATTCCTCAGCGTATGCTAAGAGAACAACTCTTTCCAACGTCTAGCTGCAAAGGAGATAAATGAGGAGTGACTACGCATGTGCATCTTTATACATGGAGCTGCCAGCTAAATAAATACATTAATTAGGTTTAGTCAAGCTGGCTTCATGGTTTGGGGAGTCTTCGAGAGACTGTCGGTGGGCCTCTTTGAGGAGCGGAGGGGTTTGTGCATTCAAATAGGAACACACCCAAGATTCCTCCATCAGATGACTTACACAAGCACACTGAGCCGAATGCCAAGCTCATTTTTGAGGGGGCAGAATGACCCCTCATTATCGTCTAGCTAGCCCTTGGTGGTGAGGTGAAGCCAAAGCTCAGGAACAGCACACTCCATGCCCCTAATCTTTTTGAGATAAGCAGCAAAAGGTAAGCTAAGCAGAAAGGAAATAGAAGAGCAGCAGCTCAGGTGGCAGAGCAAACACTTGGATGCAAAGGGTCTCAGGTTCAATCCCTGACATCTACAGGTTCGACTGGGTAAGAAATGTATCTAAAACCCTGGAGAGACACTGGCTGTCAGTGTTGATAATACTGGACTAGATACTCTGATTCAGTACAGTGGTACCTTAGTTCCCAAACTTAATCCGTTCTGGAAGTTTTTTCCAAAACCAAAGCGTTCTAAAACCAAGGCATGCTTTCCCATAGAAAGTAATGCAAAATGGATTAATCCGTTCCAGACTTTTTAAAACAACCCCTAAAACATCGATTTAACATGAATTTTACTATCTAACGAGACCATTGATCCATAAAATGAAAGCAATAATCAATGTACTGTACTACAAAATAAATAAGACAGCATTGTAGATGATAAAAATTAAAATTATTATTTCTTACGTGCACTGATGATGGTTGTTGTTTGGATGGGGGGCTTTTATCCATTTCTGGAGTCACACAATCAATCACTCAAACAAACAATCAATAGTTGAACTGGGTTCCACACAGTCACAAAAACAAGTCACAAGCCACAGTCACAAGACAGTCCCATAAAACAAAGAACAGTCACAGTCAACACAATGAAAAAGCCACACAAACAAAAACGCAAAAAATAGCAAAAGCAAAATCTCCAAATATCACCTGTGTTGCATGGGTGCATGGGACTCGACAGCTGACAGACTCAACAGGAATCCTCTGATTAGCAGCGGGGGACTCAGTTTACAAATGGAACACACTCAACAGGAAGTGGAACATGTTCAGCTTCCAAGGCAAAGTTCACAAACTGGAGCACCTACTTCTGGGTTTGCAGCGTTCTATTTCCAAGTTGTTCATAAACTAAGCTGTTCTAAAACCAAGGTACCACTGTATACAGCAGTTTCTTATGCTCCTAAAAACCATGTGACACTTCATTTGAAGGTTTTTGTTCAGCCTCCACACAGACCTTCTCCGTGTGCTTCCCACCAGGCTCATGATTCTGGCACAGGATCCACCTTGCTATCTGCTGGAGCTGTCCATTCATTTTTGATTCCTCAAAGACTGGGGCTCTGGTGCTCCTCAAACTTGAGCTCCTGCTGTAATTTAATCTTTCAGACTCCAACAGATCCAGACCTGGTTATCAGGGGAGAGCCTGACTCGTCATAATGAAGCCATGCGTCCAATTCTTGGCAAGGGCACAGAAACTCTTGGCTGGGTTTGTTCATCTTTTCATGTAGCCTCGGGGGAGAGCCTGCTTATTCTCAGCTCCACCTCAAAGGGAAAGAGGACCATCCATTGAAAGGTGTCTTTTTTCAGGAGCCTAAAAAACTGAGGAAGGAGTAGCAAAATTTAAGCAATGAAAGACAAAGTCACAGGGACCCAAATGACAATGAAATGATATAAAAACATGAATAAATATATATGTACACATTATTTGTTTTTTTATATAGTAAGCTACAGCTAGGACTCAGGTGGCGCTGTGGGTTAAACCACGGAGCCTAGGATTTGCCGATCAGAAGGTCGGTGGTTCGAATCCCTGTGACGGGGTGAGCTCCTGTTGCTCAGTCCCTGCTCCTGCCAACCTAGCAGTTCGAAAGCACATCAAAGTGTAAGTAGATAAATAGGTACCACTCCGGTGGGAAGGTAAACGGCGTTTCCGTGTGCTGCTCTGGTTCACCAGAAGCGGCTTAGTCATGCTGGCCACATGACCTGGAAGCTGTACGCTGGCTCCCTTGGCCAATAAAGCGAGATGAGTGCCACAACCCCAGAGTCGGTCACGACTGGACCTAATGGTCAGGGGTCCCTTTACCTTTACCTTTAAGCTACAGCTGGGGAAAATTGTAATTTTCAATGGTGGTCAGTGTGGTGTAGTGGTTAGAGTGTTGGACTAAGATATGCGAGACTAGGGTTCAAATCCCCACTCAGCTGTGAAGCCTCTCACTGCCTAACCTACCTCACAGAGTTGCTGTGGGGATTAAATGAGGAGGGGGAGAACCATATGCACCACCTTAAACTCCTTGGCGAAAAGGTGGGATTGAAATGCAATAGATAAAGCAAAACAAAATAACTTGTATTTTTTATACATATATACTCACATATGTTTATACATATATTTGCTCATGTTTATATAATCCTCATTTTTTGGTTATCATTTCATTGTCATATGAGTTCCTGGGACTTTGCCTTTTGTTTATCTTGCACAGACTGATGCCTCTTAGCTGCCCAACAAGTGCCCCTGCATGATTCATATATTTGTACTGCCAATGTTTGAAAAGGAAAAGGTTCTGACCTCCTTTGCCTGGTCCTTGGACCCTAGTCGGCACAAAGAGTCTCTGAGAAAGAGTACTTTGCAGAATGCTGCTTTTATTCTTAAAAAAGTCTTCTCCAACCACGACCGACAGCTTTATACATATCAAACGCAACCAGCTTTCTGCCATCTGACCAACCCACAACACACGCAATAAATGACCACTCTATATATACAGGTATATGGAGGTGAAAGTTTGCATGAGTTATGTGGGCTTTGCCGATTCATTGTAAGCTGCTGACTCATGCTGACTCAGTTCCTTTTGTGTTAAAGAAACAGTGGCCAATTTTAGGCCATGACATGTACACCTTAAAAAACATGATGTGCAGAACATGAAGGATTAGAGAATATAAATTTTCTTTTTTCGATGAAATGGTTTGTAAATGATCTAAACAGATAAATAAAAACAAGTAAGGCATATTTTAATCTCAGAATACACATTCTAAAATGCATTCTGATACATTTTCTTGGGCCAGGTACTATATTTCAAATTTTGCATAACTGTGCAGTCCCAAAGGTAACTATGTCTGGGAGATGTAGATCAGTTCAGACCATACCAGAATGTGCAGAATTTTTTTAAAAAAATCCTTAAGCATATATATATATATATATGTACACACACACACACACACAGACACGTGTGTGTGATATGTGTGTGTGTGTGTGTGTGTGTGTGTGTGTGTATATATATATATATATATATATATATAATTAGTTGCAGCTTATGATCAGACTGTCCAATGATTATCTCTAATTTAGGATAGAGTTTTACTATTCTCATAACAGAAAATGTACAAAGATAAAGGCTTAGTGCTAAAGAGGAGGTCTGCTGACTTACTTGCGACCATCAGCATTGGCCTGTGGGCAGCAAACTGGTGAATGAGATGAAATGATTCTCCTTCTCTTCACTGGGGGAGTCCCTTGTATAAGCAGCATGAAAGACTGCAACATTTGTAGTTAAAATGGCACAAAATAGCTGGGAGTCATTTTGGCTTGGCTTTAAGCGCTTGTTAGATCCAGCAGTTAGCTTATGGCTAGATTGTTGGTGTGTTTTATCTCTGCTGAGCAGTCCCAAAATATCAACAAACAGGCATTGGAACGCGGACCGTTAAAATATGTATTGCACTCCAGAATTCCTCATTTAAACTTCATGATGTTTTTTGAGGAGGTTCATTTTCTTCACAGCTCTTAGGCCTGCTCTCTCTTGTTCTCCCACCTTTCTACTGAAGGGGCGAGGAACGGGATCCGTCAGTGGGTGGGATCCTTTTCTTCGGATATTCCCATGGGCCAACTTTGACAGGTGGGTGGAGCCACCCACTTGTCAATCACCTGACATCAGGGGACCCGCCTTTGTCTGTGCGGTATGAAATTAAACTGTGTGTGCCAAAAGGTGATGTGCCATGGCACCTACCTGAGAGGTACCAGAGCTCAGTTCTGGCAAGTTCCGGCTGAAGAAAAAAGGCCAGTTCTCAAGATGTGTGAGGGAGTTTTGACTTTGATCAGAGTAGGGGCACTTGGAGAAAGGTGTATAACCCTCTGCCCCATGTCCCCCCCCCCCCAGTTTAAATCCACACAAGCTGGTATAAATCTGGCTTGTTCAACGACATGGGGAAAGGGAACACCCCCTTTGCCAGTGCTATTGCTACAATAAACATGGGAGCCCCTAGCTTACAGTGGGCAGAAACAAGATGGGAGATCCAGTCATGGTTCTGCCAAGCCATTTCTCTTTTTGCCTTATGTATGCACATCATCTTTTGTGCCAGAAAGAAGGGACAAAACATCCAGGGAGCAGCTTCAGGAGGATGCAAGACCTGAGCCCATCTATACACAAGGGACGTACATTTGTTCCATAGGCTAGTAGCAGGCAAATTAAATGTGGTCACATACACTTTAATCCAGGAGGATTCAATTAGTCCCCCCATCTCATCAAAAAAGTAATAACTTGCCTCAAGGTGGGAACACAGTCTGATTATTATGCCCTTCATTAAATTTGGTTATCACCTCTAGTCCATAGGGTCCACACAAATTGCTATTTTCTCTAATGACTCAGGAGTGTACAAATTAAGCCAATAGCCCTGTGTGGTATACGCCACAGTCATCAAGGGATCACATGCATGCAGGGAAGGAAGAAGCCATTTGAATAAGTAAATTACTCAGCAATTTTCTCGTTGCAGGTAGTCAGCTTGAATGTGCTGTCTGCCAGCAGTGATGCACATTTATACAGTCATACCTTGTGTTGCATTAGGTTCATGTTGTGTCTTTTCGGCTTGTGAATGCGGCAAACCTGGAAGTGTATACTTCTGGGTTTCGCCGTGTGTGCGTGCGCAGAAGCATTCTGTGCGCTTTGCGCATGCGCAGAAGCGCTCTATCGCGCTCTGCGCTTGCGCAGAAGCGCCACTCTAGTTGCGGACTTTTCAGGGTGCAAATGGCACCCCGGAACAAATCATGTCCGCAACTAGAGGTACCACTGTATATTTAGGTACTGTAATCGTAACTGACAATTCTCAGTGACTGCGCCCATTTTGCAGAGCTTTAACTGTAGCAGGGAGAACTAACTTTCCCCACTTTTTCATCCACTTAGTATCAAATTCTGTGAGAAATGAATAAAAACAGTGATTACATCCTCATTGTTGAACCTTTCCAGCTTAAACGTGAATAGGAAACTACTCAGCCCCTTGTTTTTCACAGGATATAGCAGTTTTATGTCTGCCAGCCAGTATATCATTGCTGCTAAAGGTGTCAGCTGTTGGGTTTGTTAGCTAAAAGCCCCACACCACACTCCATGTCTGTATTATTATTATTATTATTATTATTATTATTATTATTGCAGTATAGCATGCGCTAGCTCTTGCTTAACAGGCCAGGTCAGTGTTTGTCAGGTTATTTCCCTGACAAACACTATGAACTTCACTCTTCCAAACAACATTTTGTAGTGGCTCCCAATGTGTTGTTGCTTTATTATATGTGAGCAAATAAGTTTGCTCATGTCTTTGTAATGTTATTGTAGTGTGGTGGTAAAACTTTTGAAACTGCTTGGCTGAGCTGATGTGAAGGCATGGAATGCTCATGAACATTCCAGCTTCCCAGGGAACAAAGCTGTCAAGACCATTTGCAGTCTGGTATCTGTGAGGGAAGAGAAAGTTGTCAGTTTATCTGGGATTAAAACTTTACGCCGGTCCTATGAGTAACAACAGTAGGAGATGCTGACTGAATGTTAGTGGTTGTTTTGAACTAATCAGCCATATCTTTCACTTCAGGCTTCTGTTACACATGAAGCTGCCTTATACTGGATCAGAAGATTTGTCCATCTAGTTCAGGACTGTCTGCTCCAACTGCTCTCCAGGGTTTTACTCTGAAAGGTCTTTCCCATTTCTGCTATCTGAAATCATTTAATTGGAGATGACAGTGACTGAACCTGGGACTTCCTCTGTCCAAAGCAAGTGCTCTCTTGAAGAGCTATGGCTCCTTAATCAAATCTCAGTCTAGTAAGGCAGGTTTCTGCTTGTGGGCTTGGTATTTCATCCTTGCAATTATGTGCAGAGGAGAGAAAAAACACATAAGTACATATCCAGCATCTGCCAGATTCAGTCAAGATGCCCCCTCCCCACACTCTGTGCAGAAATAGGTGATTAGCTTTGGCAGAGGTATGGTGCTTAAACTGTGTTCAGCTGTGCATCCCTTCAAGCTCAATGAGATCTTCTCCACATTTTAATTTAATTTTAATTCAAAATGAAATGATCACTCAGCTGCATAGCTTGCTGGAATATGCAAGCTGCACTAGGGAAGCTTCAGCCTCTTAAAAACCCATCTCAGCTTTCTCGTACATTTTGTACTCCTTTCCCAACGATGCCTTCAAGTGGTATTACTATTATTGTTGTTGTTATGTATACTGAGTCATCACTAGGTGGCAGTGTAGCAACACCGCTGGAGACCTGGCTGCTATACTGTGTAGAGGCATAAGCCATTTACAGCCACGGTGAAAAATGCATTAATTATGGCAACTACTTATTTACAATAACATGGCCAAGTTAAACAAGATACACGGGGGCATAATTTTCTACCTCACAGAGCTGCTCTTGGGATTCCCTCTAATGGCTTCATCCTGTTTAACTTGGAAAGCAGAATGTCTAACCTTTTGGCTGCTTGGCTGCTTTTGTAGCAATCACACCTCTGTACAACAAACAAAGGCCCTCTAAGAAATAAAAAAAGGGTGCCCCGAAGTCCCCAGGTTGGGGAAAGTGGCCCGTCATGCAGAAGTCTTGTGCAGAGGCAAAGCCAAAATTGTCATCATTGTACTGTGATATGGGAAAAGAAGCGGAGAGGAGAGAAGATTGGTTCAGTCTAACAATTCTAAGTGGCTTGTTGGTGTACTGTAGTTTTTTGGAAAGGAATTTCAAGCACACTGGGATCTGAGACTTGCTATGTGCGAATTAGTGCAATTAATGGCCATGTTTATAATTCTATCCAGTGACTCCTATGTGGAAAGAAACATGCTTCTGAATGCTGGTGGGTGGGGAAAACAGATGCTGTATCCATGAATCCCTACTCTAATATAGTAAGCAGAGAATGCTTACAGACAGTCAGCTGCTCAGAAGGAAATGTTGGGAAGCGCCTTCTCATTCCCCACCAAGAAGCTCATAAGTGCATTTGCAGCTTATCTGGCAGGACCATGTGCCCTCAGACCCGGCAGCTGCACATACTTGCAGTAGGATCAGGGCCAATGTGTTCAGCATCCTGGCCTAAGCATATTTCTTGGAACTAAATCCCACATATTTAATGAGACGCTTCCTAGTAGGAACACGTTAGATTGCAGCCTGACAGTCTTATCTCAAAATAGCCTCAAAAGTCAGTGCAATGTAGTGGTTAGAGTACTGTAATGGGCTCTGAGTACAAATCATCATCTATTTATACCCCACCCATCTGGCTGGGTTTCCCCAGCCACTCTGGGCAGCTCCCAACAGAATATTAAAAGCACGATAAAAGATCAAACATTAAAAACTTCCCTAAACAGGGCTGCCTTCAGATGTCTTCTAAAAGTCAGATAATTGTTTATTTCCTTGATATCTGATGGGAAGGCATTCCACAGGGCAGGTGCCACTACCGAGAAGGCCCTCTGCCTTTTCCCCACCTAGCCATGATATGCACGACCATGAGTTTGGGCCGAACCTATCTCACGATGTGGAGGTTGTGAAGTTGTGTAACATACATAATTTACGCAATTAATTACATACATTACTTTGTCGTTATGTTATTCCACCTGATTCATTTCAGCGCAAAGGAAGTGCAGTGCAAATGGGGAAAAACATGATCAATTATGTATGCTTTGCAGACTGAAAGCAACTACAACAGCAAATACACATTGTGGATTGATTTCCGTTCTGGACATGTGATTAATAAGCAATCACTGCTGGTTTCTGTTTCTGTTTCCATTTGCATCAGAATTCTCTGACACTCCTAGATGAAAACGGTACTTTATAAAAATTTGGAGAAGCACTAGTTCAGACTTGGGGAATCTGTGTCTTCAATTTTACAGGTGAGGTACTGCAACAATGATGGGTGGAATCGTATCCTATCAGGTCACCATCGAGCTCCAAGGGAATATCAACAGCCTATTTAAGAGACGTCTCTCAGGGAAAATAAGGAGCTGATATTCTAAGACCCATGTCCTACAACCAAGGCCATGATCC